CGCTGGAACGCAGGAGGGAGAGATATATCATAATCTACACTTGGAAAATCCTAGAAGGAATGGTCCCGAATCTGCACACAGAAATCATTCCCTACGAAAGTAAAAGACTGGACAAGCGGTGCAAAATACCCCCAATGAAGAGTAGGGGTGCCATTGGTACACTAAGAGAAAACAAGTGTCCGGGGCCCAAGACTGTTCAACAGCCTCCCACCAGTTATAAGGGGAATTACCAATAGGCTCCTGGCTGCATTCAAGAGGGAGCTGGACAAATACTTAAAGTCGGTGCCGGATCAGCCGGGCTGTGGTTCGTACGTTGGACTACGTGCGGCCAGCAGTAACAGCTTGGTTGATCAGGCCTTGATCCACCGGGAGGCCTGGTCGTGGACAGGGCCGCGGGGGCGTTGATCCCCGGAATACCCTCCAGGTAGACTCCAGGTAGTGCATAACAGTACACACCAGTGCACAATATTACACACCAGTGCACAACAGGATACAACAGTACACAACAGTGCACAACAGTACACACTAGTGCGCAACAGCACACACGAGTGCACAACAGTACACACCAGTGCACAACAGTACACACCAGTGCACAACAGGATACAACAGTACACAACAGTGCACAACAGTACACACCAATGCACAACAGTTCACACGAGTGCACAACAGTACACACCAGTGCACAACAGTACACACCAGTGCACAACAGTACACACCAGTGCACAACAGTACACACCAGTGCACAACAGGATACAACAGTACACAACAGTGACAGTGTGTACCGAGGAGAGTATGGATAACATACATTTCCATCTTGGCAGTAAGAAACTTATACCTCTGTTTACGTAGCAGTAAATAGGAGCCTGGCTGGTACTCCAAATACACTTCCTGCCCATGTTCATATAAAGAGTAAATAGGTGCAAGGCTGCTAGTTTCCTCACACTTGCCGACAATATTCACCTAACAGTAAATAGGTACAAGGGTGTTCATCTTGCACTTGCTGCCCATCTTTACCTAGCAGGGAACAGATACTTTGGTGGTAGTCTCGTTACACAGATGCCCATATTCACCTAGCAGTGAGAGGTACCTGGATGGTAGGTGACTTGTGAGTAGAGTCCTGAAGGTGGCAATATACCTCAGATGTTGCTGGGCTTTCAAATGAACCGTAAAGTCAATGATGTAAGCAAAAGAAAAAGAAACGGTCGTAATTTCAAGAGCCGAGATTGAACACAAATGTAATTACAATAGCAGCCTACACCAGTTTAAAAGAAAACAGAAAAGCTTTTAGAAACAGAAAAGCTTTTAGAAACCTTAAGAAGCTTTTAGAAACCTTAAGAATGAAGGATTGAAAGTGCTATCCACAACACAGGAACATCCCTCGAATACGCAGTGACATAGTGGAGGCGGGAACCATACATAGTTTTAAGACGAGGTTTGATAAAGCTCATGGAGCAGGGAGAGGACCTGCAATCAGTGAAGAGGAGGGGCCAGGAGCTATGAATCGACCCCTGCAACGACAAATGGTTGAGTACACACACACACACACACACACACACACACACACACACACACACACACACACACACACACACACACACACACACACCACACACACACACACACACAAACACACACACACGCAAACCTCACTCAAGGAAAAAGATCTTGGGGTGAGTATAACACCAGGCACATCTGAGGCGCACATCAGCCAAATAACTGCTGCAGCATATGGGCGCCTAGCGAACCAAAGAACAGCATTCCGACATCTTAATAAGGAATCGTTCAGGACCCCGTACACTGTGTACGTTAGACCCATATTGGAGTATGCGGCACCAGTTTGGAACCCACACCTAGCCAAGCACGTAAAGAAACTAGAGAAAGTGTACAGGCTTGCAACAAGACTAGTCCCAGAACTAAGGGGTATGTCCTATAAGGAGAGGTTAAGGGAAATCGACCTGACGACACCGGAGGACAGGAGAGTCGGGGGGTACGATAAGCCAAAAAAAATATGAGAGGAATTGACAAGGTGGACGGGACAATGTTCTAGAGATGGGGAAAACGCAAAAAGGGGACACAGTTGGAAGTTGAAGACTCAGATGAATCACAGGGGTGTTAGGAAGTATTTTTTCAGCACGGGGTAGTCGGAAGTGGAATGTTTGGGAAGCGATGTAGTGGAGGTAGGATCATAATAGCTTAAGAAGGGTATAATAAAGCTCATGGTGCAGGGAGGGTGACCAGTAACGGTCAGTGAAAGGGGGGGGCCGGAGCTTGATTCGACCCCTCAACCCAATAGGTAGTTTCACACAACACACACACACACACACACACACAAACACCACACACACAACCCCACCACCACACACAACAGTGGAATTTTTTTTTTGAAACATCATTGGTTCAAGCAAGTCAATAACGCTTTTAAGAGAGGAATAAAGCCCAAGAAGCCGTATCGTGAGCCCACACACTGGTACAGGAGGGGAGGTGGGTGGTCTCGACCCCTGGAAAAAAACAATTCGGTGAGCCACTACACACACCACTTTCC